ATATAGCTTGTTTAAAAGCAGACTATTCTTCCAGAATATATTACAGGAGAGGTTAAAAACCTTTTTGTTTGCCACATGAAAATTTATACAATAAAAATACTTAGGTAAATATATAATACTAGCAGACCCGGCCACGCGTTGCTGTGGCTAACGTCTTTGTTATATTACATTTTATTAAACTATTTAAGTGGAACGGTAGGAGAACATCAATCATGTGGACCACAATGCTTTTTTTACATAGATGCCATTTGTAAAAAAATGGCGAACTCCACGGCTGATTTTCTACTATCGTCACCCTTAATATAATGAAATTGTTATTTACGAACGAAGACTGAAACTTTAAAGCTGGTATAAAATTCCGCTGGATTGGGATTTGAAGGAGAAGGACTTTGAACACGATTGATCAAAATTTTTGTACAATTGATATCAAGCAAAAATCATTATAATAGAATTAATTTTAAAATTTATAATTTTTTAATTCAAGTTTGTAACAAATGAGTATATTACAAACTTTACAGTAAATAACATGTGACACTTAAACTTATAAATGAGCTAGGTACGGCAGATAGTTTTAAATCTTTAACAATAATATTTATTATTTTGAATTAAAAATACTTTTAATTTCAATTTAATTTAGCACTAATCGGTGAACAATATTTTTGGTTAACCTGTTTTTAGCTAACACAAATAGATTCGACGGTTTTCCTACTCGTGAACATGCTGTATATAGTTGCCCATGAGAAAAACATGGATTTTCCAAATCCAAACCGCAAATAGACATTATTTGGCCTTGAGATTTATTTATAGACATGGCAAAAGCTAAACGAATTGGAAACTGTAGCCTTCTGAAGGGTATCGTAGAATCTGACGGTATCATTGGAATACGTGGCAACAGAACCACTTCTCCTTTAAAATTTCCAGTTAAAATGGTTGCCTCAAGGATATTTCCAGTGATCCTTTTGATGACCAAACTCGTACCGTTGCATAATCGAGGTGGATTCAAATTACGCAGGAGCATAATAGGTGAACCAATCTTTAGTCGAAGATTATGTGGTGGCATTCCAGGTATATCTAGTGAATTTAAAAATTCGATTGGAAAATTTACACTTTCATTTTCATTAACAACAGTATCGATTGATTTAAAAGACATCAGATCGCCAGGTAATAACTGTTGTATCTGGAAGTTAATTTCGTCAACATCAACATTTTACGGCTGCCAAAATAGCCCGATCACTGAGCCAGTTATGATTCAAGTAATTACTCTGTATATCTGGAAAGATACTCTGAATCAATTCATTTTTCCCGGAAGAACAGTGCAGAAATTGTCTGGCAGTTTAATGCATTGCGTTGGTTGCAGTTCTATTTTACAATATCTAGTAATTGTTCGGAAAATATTTGTGCAGATGAATCATTTTGCAATCGTACGCGCATGTTTATGGTCAAACGAAGTGTTTCTACACTTCGCCATAAGAATGATTGTTTCAAACATGCATTAATCTCATCCGCGAAAGTAGAGCGAGGTATAACCGGTAAGGTCTGTCGGAAATCACCAAACAAAAGTAAGATAGAACCACCGAAAAGTTTATCGTTGCCGTTTAAATCTTGCATAGTTCTATGCAATGCTTCGAGTGAATGTTTGTGAGCCATTGTGCACTCATCCCAAATTATGATTGAACTCTTCCACAACCCTGCAGCTATTCTACTATTATTTTATGTTACATATTGCGTTTGGTTTATTATGAATTTCCAATGGCAACTTCAATGTTGAATGTGCCGTTCGCCCACCATCTAGCAAAGTAGCCGCAATACCTGACGATGCAACTGCCAATGCTATTTTCTTTTGTGATCGTACTTTGGCAAGAATCAGCGATATTAAAAATATCTTACCGGTTCCACCAATTGCATCTAATGAAAAAAAGCCGCTTTGTGCAGCAGCAACAGTCAGAATAATCCGATTATAAATAATTTTTTGTTCTGCTGTCAGTAATGGCTCATTGTTCGCTATAAATGTTGCTAAATTACCGTGGTCATATTGTTTTTCTCGCTGTAAATCGATGTTCTCTAAGTCGGTGGCTGGGCGATCAGGTGATGGCATACCATAATGATTAAGTGGTAAATTTTAAATTAAAACACATAAATTATCGACCAATACTAACGCTTCATTATATATCTCTGGCGTATAATCTATGTTTTGGCATTGATCATTTTGTCTAATTCGGTGCAATATGTCTTCTGTCATATAATTTTTATATTTTTACCAAAAATTTTGTGCTTGCGATGGATAACATGTTAAAATAATTGCAAACAGCTGACGAATGTTATTGGGCGTTGACGTAAACGCAGCATCAGCAAGCGTTAAGTCCCAATGGTTATCGTCTTCTAGCAATTGCAGTTCACGACATGCATCTTGGTATGTATTGAATACTTGACCATTAACTGTTCGCAGAAATTCAAAAGACGTTGGTCCGCGAACATTTACCATTAAAAAACGTAAATAGAAGCACTCACGTTGCTTTGGATGTACCGTGTAAAGTCGCCCCAATGTCTTAGCTTTGAATATTCCTGTAATGGATGTGGTTTTATTTGTTTTCGTGGCTCCCATTTTTTACAGGATTTGTTCCATATGAAACTACGTGGAACATCAGTATATATCAATGTCTTTGCGAATTGACCAAAAATATCAGATTTTTGACACAATGTAAAAAATTCAGTTAGTGTCGTTTTTAGAGCCTCAAGCGCTCTTTGGATAACATTTTCTTCAGTGAAGTATACACGTTGCCCGTTTTCAAGATTTATTGCTAGATGCTGTACAGGAGGGTCTCTTTCGTGTATGGGAAAGCTGACAATATGCCAAATAGCTTCGTTGCTGCTAATGTATCTACCCATTTGATACCGTGTTATTTCGTCATTTTTATTTCTATTTTGTACTTCAAATATGGCTAAATCACTGCCTTTATTTACATACTTACAAATGTATTTTATTGATTTTACAGAACTGCAAAGCTCGATATTAATATGAGCTTCATAAGTTTTTGAAAGTAATGGTGAGTATTGTATCACCCACTGATCATCAAGTTCTACTTGATTTATAGAATTCGGCAGTCGCATTGTGAATCTGTGGCCACCGTTCTCAGTATTTCTGCGGCGATACATTGGATAACCGTCAATATCCGTGATAGTTTCATTCGTATGCGGCATTGGAAAATGTTCTTACATTTTCCATTTTCCATGCATGGTGACGTCATGTTGAAAGCACCACATGGCCCGTGTATCATATTTTTGGTAACAATATCAAATAATTCTTGATCAATGGATGGGTCTGGAATTTTGGCTGAAATTATTTGATCTATTTCTTCTGGACGGACTTTATCGTGAAGCCAAATTAAAATGTAGGCATGAGGCAAACCTCGCTTTTGCCACTCAATCGAATATAGCCAACAACGTGTGATAGCACAAACTGAATATTTATCAATGAAATCAATTAAGGATTTCAATTTTTGTTTGAATACACGTGCAGTTATATCATGACAATGAATTGCTTATTGTCCTGGTAATAGTAAAGTTTGTATCTCTGTCCAATTCGGATTACATGTGAATGTAAATAAACAAATCTGGTCGGCCGTAATAACGTACGTAAGTTATCGCATCTTGTATGTATTCCTGCATATTCCGTGGACTGTCGATGTAGCTTGAAGGTAAAATGAAGGCATTACCAATGTCTTTGGGATTTAAATTTCCGGCGATGTTTCCAACAACAAATCTCGTAAGTGAATGTATTCTTCCGATCGTAATTTAGCCTGGTTGTATCGAATGAATTGCAAGCGTTCGCTTTCAACCTTAGCATACATATCAACAATATATTAATGGAATAGCTGACGATATCGAAGGATATAGTTATCCTGATATAGTCTTGTCATCAATCGGTGTGCGTAGTAGTTCATTGAGCTAACGTTTTTATCTCTTTTAGCACCTAAAAACAATAAAAAATAAAATAAAATAAGAAAATAAATAAGTACACACAGTTAGTTAATATCTTATTAAATAATTAATTGTCAAATTTACCGGTATTTGGATCACACTGTTTGATGATAAGGTGATATTCATCCTGTCCTTGCCAAAATATTAATGGGTATTGTAGTGCGTCATATGAACGATGTAGATCCGAAATCCTACTGACAGTGTTGTCTCGCCATGTAATTTTTATAGCTTGGTGATCCAGTTGACAAAATCAACTGGATCACCAACCATAATAATAGCGACCTAATCTACAGTTGGAGCGTTGAATCTGCCAGCATGTTCACCAAATGGTACTTTGTCGGCTTTCATGACGACTTGAAAGTTGTCATTTTGCAGTCGTGGCGAAATTATTTTAATCAATCGAATTAGTTCATTATGATCTAAAATTTTTTCCAGCATAATCACAATTGCTCTTTCTTCTGCTTGTTCAATGAAATTATACTGGCACCGAGTTGTCACGCGCTCTTCACAATTGCCCATAAAATAAATTTGAAGAAATTTCGGATCATTACCAGGCATTGGCATCAATGACCCGATTTGATGGTGCACCTGGCCTTGTATTTTAAATGTCGTTTCAAAATTACGTCCATCAGATGCGAAATCGCAAATTTTAGTTGCCCCAAATGACGACATTTGGAAGCAAGAATTAAATTTGCGTATCTTACGCAAAAATAATTTTGAATCATCTGAATCGCCAGCAAGAAGGGATAATAAAGGTTCTGGCGGAGTGGGTAGAGGTGACAGCACAACTTTTCAGCACATGCCGGGTGTTTCGTTCTGAAATTTCAATGCCTGACAATATTGACATACTTTATCCATTGTACCGATAGCGATTTTTGAATGCGCAGCGTAGTAAATATCTGGTGCGTATTCGAAAGCAAGACGAACAAATGATGCTCGTGATAATGAGCGGCTGGCCCGCTGCCTCTGTCGTTCTTGTACTCGAGCTGTAGCTATGTTTTGCTCTCGTGCTGCTCTTGTTCTCATAATAGTCTGTCGCAGACGTTCGTCATGCTGTTATTAATGTTCTTGTGCACGACTCTCTGCTGTCCTGATTCTTTGATCTGCATTTCTTGTTTCGTATTGTTCTGCCGACTGATGAGCATTTTCAACACGTTTGCGTCGTGCCTCTCTGCCCCTCGCGTTATTGAGATTAGATTTTTTCGGTGGCATTTGACTGAAAATAATAATTTAAACTTTTAAATTAAAAAAAAAAACTGAAAAACATGCTATTATATCACATTGAAATAAGGATTGAAAATAATTTTTAATAAAGTTTGAATAAAAAAAAATCAATAACATGAGAAGCAAGCGGACAATAAATACCAACCATTTTTGTGACAAATAACCAGATTCATTTAGATCTTGGAGCCTTAGTACCTCATGACCACCAAAATACAGTAATTCTATGCACTGCAAATACAATAATGTAACTATGTGATAATACTTACATGTATAATATTTTATTTTAATTAAAGAGTTTTGAACAACGAAGCACTAATACTCGTAATTAAAAAGCAGGAATAATTTCACTGTATTATCGTCACTATAATATGAATTTAATTTATACTTCAGTAATCATTATATTAGTTTTGCAAAAATGTAAATTGCTTTATTGAGACTTTTTTGTTTTTTAAAGGAACCGTTTCAAATGTAACATTGACGCATGCGCAGTACGGGTACGTACTGCGCATGCGTCATTTAATAAAGCTTTAATAAAGGTAGTAAAATTAGATTCTAATTATTAACACTTAATATTTAAAGAAAACTATAATAAAAAACCACTAAAACAATTTTTTTAAGTTTCTGACAATAATTTAAATCCTTCTTCAATGCTCTGAACTGCTTTATTGAAGAGCATTTCTAAAAGCTCCGAATTTCAGCGATTTATTTCTAAATTTCCTTCTTCTATCGCCAAAAAACGCTCAGAAAAACTTAGGAATAGTGATCGCTGTTGAGATGAAGGTGATGCACGACTTGACGACTGTAGCGAAGTCTTGATGTTGCTAGAATAGTAACAAATGGTAGAGTAAATATATTATTCCTATTTAGTTACAATACATTTGTATGAAAATCACAATAAAACATCTGAAAAGAATAAATTCACTTCTAAGTTGGTCTATACACATAAGTGGGTCTATGTACATAGGCTTACTATCATCAGGTAAACATCAAACTAGAGATCTAATAATCGAAAGGCCAACCCTTGATTAACTAAGCTAATTTTGCTTCTATTACAAAATTACCTAATATTTATTTTCACAATGAGCGTGTATGGCAAAATCCGAAACTATGAGACTCAAAGGAACCTCCAGGCCGATTTTGATGAAAACTAAGACAGCATCATTGAATTTTTGAAAAATCATTATTCCTAGCCAGGAATAGAACCTGCCGATTTTAAAAAAAAAAGACACTGTATTGTTACACCAATCGATTGTGTCACTAATATGGATCAAATTCTGGAAAGTTATGACATATGTCAAACTGAAGGAATTACAATCTTTTATGAAATACGAATACGAAACAGTAATATTAATATCAATGAAACGTCGAACAAAATCATTATTGACTAAAATTCACTCGAAGTTCTAATTAAAAATTTTTACGCTTTTTTCTATTAATATTTGAAATGAGAATACAGTGGTGTGAAGAAGATATAATAGAAAACATAACTTTGAGGTATCCTTCAATTTTAGTAATGTGATAAAATATAATTACTTGTATTGGGCAGTGGGTGATTATGCACTGGAGATCCAGTCAATTGGCGCCGTGCATTTCTTAGCTGATGCTGTGGGTGGCTGCCTGATCCCGAAGGAGTTCGGGGAGGATTTGCGGGACCTCCAACTGTGGGTGGCGTGCAAGGTGGAGACTGAACCATCGGTACGAGTAAAGGGCTTAATGATACCTGGATTCAGATATATTAAGTGTTAAAATTGTGTAATAAAGAAATTTTAAATATTCGTAGATTACTCACCATGCCAACAACACTTTGCCTAGAAGATGGCCCAGATGTTCCAGGTGGACATAAATTGCCTGCCTTTCAATAGCATGCTGTTGTATTGTCTGAAAATAATAATAATGATAACTGACATACTCTTGTATTATAGTTTTATGTAAATATACATAGCGTGGCCGTGGTAGGAAAAGGGGAGATCTCCCGCCGGGCAAGGTGTTCTGCCAGGGGAGCGGCCGACACTCTCGAGTGATAGTTCGGAGATGTTCTATATATACTGTTTATGATTCGGAATGTTGATAGCGCGATTTATGCTTCGGTATGTTTCGCTTGTGGCGCGACGACAGCGCCGCTACATCACCCCCCTGCTCAGACCGGAGGTCGATAGTGCAGTCTCGTTGTCGAAGAATGTGCAAGTGCCAGGAGATTGCCTTGTAGCCTGCGGTGAGTCGAGAAGAAAGCAAGTAATCTGCGAGCAGTAAGGCTCAGAGCCGTGCCGAACACTGTATGGCGCAGAGAGTAGCTTGCAGGAACATGAAGCATTGTTATTCCAGTGCTGCGATGAACCTTGTGAAGCTAGATGACTTGCAGGATATGAAGACTGTAGACGATATCTGCTCGGGAGCGAATGGGTGGGGTATTCTACGACGATGATGAAGCTTGAAGTTTCCGAAGGTTGTTTGGTTGCGTGTTCAGATCACGTCGGGGTCACCACTGTGGCCGTGGTAGGAAAAGGGGAGATCTCTCGCCGGGCAAGGTGTTCTGCCCGGGGAGCGGCCGACACTCCGAGTGATAGTTCGGAGATGTTCTATATATACTGTTTATGATTCGGAATGTTGATAGCGCGATTTAGGCTTCGGTGTGTTTCGCTTGTGGCGCGACGACAGCGCCGCTACAATAGAATCAATATTTTATTAGCTTTATCTTGATACTACAGTAACATACATTCTACATCCTAATTTATATAGAAACTTAAACAAATTATATACATAGTATGTAAATAAAATAATATATAATATACCTCTACAACAGGAACATTTTCAGCTGGAAAATTTCCAATATAAATTGGTATCGATTGTTGTTCCTGAAAACATTCAAACATCAACTAATCATTCAATTATATACATATTCGCATGTCAGATGTTAAATAATAAAGAATACATGTGAAAAAATTTGAAGAAGAGAGTTCTTCCCAAAATATTTCACATACTTTAAATTTACAGTTACTCTCTTCTTTACTTTTGGATTATGTTATACAAATCATATCAGTACTAGTAAATACTTTCCAAACCCCAATAATTAATATGATACAATTATTTACATCTTATATGATAATCATATTAATAAGTTTTTATTTAAAACTTGAAATTTTTAAAACGTACTTGTATTGTTTTGAAAATTTAATTACTATGCATATTTATATGATTTAATTTCAGACAGTCAATCGATAAAATATAATATTATAATTGGTTTTGTATGGTAACCGTAGAAGTTAAAATAATTTGATTATTGTGTTAGACAAAATAACTTACCATTGATAGAAACGGAACTGTATTTAGGCCTATTAACTGGGTAGAAGCCAGCAAAAAGGGACTATTTTCAGGACTCCGTCCAGCCTGGGCCTAAAAATTAAAAGATGGATCATATAAATACATTAAAACTTATCAGTTTATAAAAAAAGGAAACAATTCAACTAACTTCAAAAAATTGATTAATTTCTAGGTGTATCACCATGCTTTGCCCAATGTTAATATTCTCTCTTCAATCTTCGTATCTTAGTCTTATTTCTAGTTTTAAGGGGTAACACATCATTCTTCTTAACAGCGCCATTTTATCAGCCCAAAACTAAAACGTTTTATTTAAAATTTAAGTAACGGGTTGGGTTTACAATTCGGTCGCCTGAATTTGAAGATTCTGTCACTGTGGGGGTCGAGGGGGTTTATCTGAAGCACCCCCACTCTATTTTTGTTGCCGGAGCAGCGTCGAAGTATTTTTAATTATTTTTTCAATGATTTCAAAAGGAAGGATAGGCCCATCTAAATATTTTACTGATAACTTTTTCATACAAGAAAAAGTAGCTCATCTGTCACAATACAAACGTCATATCAAAACACGACGTAACCAGGGTCGGATTTCGTAGTATAATTATCATAATTATACCATTATTTCATAGTTTGTAGTCTATAGTATCGTAATAATACAAAGCGAAAATACCAAAATTTTACCTAAAGGTCGACTTGTATTATTATTGGGTCCTTTTACATTTTAATTTCAACCCTACGATATCGAGAATTTTTGTATTGTACATCAGTACCGCGTTTTTTTTTTAAATTAGAATTAGCTCCCTTTCTGGTCAATCGATGCTCGATCGATTCATTTATGTGTTATCCTTGATACAACTGTAATGAGGGGCTACCACGATAAACAAGCAAACGGTTTGAAAACAGAATTTCAAAATATTTTATGAATCAGATTTTCAGATTCAATTAAGCGGATATGATTTCTTTTGTACTCTTTTCGTTTACCCTTATTGAATATTAAATATATTAGGTACCAATATTCAAAATTTAACTTACACTAAGTCCTTTAGACAAAAATTAAACAGAAATAAAAATAAAACCGTCAAAAAACGAAACGTATTGATAAACTAGACGCGTGACGCCAAAATCCCGGCACATGGGAAAAAAGAAACATGAAACGTCAAACATAATTTTTTTAAAATAGTATAATTTTAATTTCCATGTACAATATTGGTGAGGGTCTGATTCCAACCCTAGCCTAATCTTGGTAACGTAACTAAATTAATTGTAAAATAAAACTTTAAAAATGCGTTTATATAATAATATAATTGGTACAAAATTAATATAAGGTTATTTACCGATGATACGCTATCCCATGTTTTTTTTTAAAATCTGCATGTAATTTTTGCATTCTTTTACCACGCAATTAGACATATTTAAGACAGCCAAATCTGTTCTGCGCGCGCACTACTGTCAGCCGATCCGCGTTGGCCCTAAACTGTAATTTTAGGGCCAGCGCACTGGTCCTTCTTAGTTGTTCGGTCGGCCCAGTCCTTACGCTAGTAATATATGTCAATGTATTTTTAAAAAATATTGGTAAGACTAATTATAATTAATTACGTTTTTGACATTTCATCTGTCAATGTCATATCGATATATAGTACTGAATCGATCTAGTGAATCGAATTTTCAACCTAGAGAATCGTGATCGAATCTTTTTCTGTTTTATTATGATTTGTAAAATTATTTACAATTAGTTGAATGTACCTAACTCGTAAAGAATGACAGTTTTTAATTCAATCATTCAATGTTATCTGTACTTTATTGTAACTTTTGATATTGTAAATATAAACTTTTAACGCAAATCAAAAAAGATCGATTTTTGCGAAATCGATCTTTAAGATTTCGATTTTTTGTGAATCGATTCATCCTATTTCGGTTTAAAGATCTTTATTTACTCATTAAGACTAATGTCACTTACATGAGTACATTCATACAATTTAAAATAAATCACACAGAACAATATAATAAAATAGTAGACATAAATTAGGGTAGATCAAAATTACATATATAGAAGTTGCAAGTTAACTGCGTAAGAGCGATGTTTCAAGTTTTGATAATATAAGACGGTAGTCCAAGTTATAAAATGTCTTGTTTTTTAATGTGGTCTAATAATTTTTTCTTGAAAATATTGAGCGAACTTGCATCTTTTATAGTTGAAGGGAGTTTGTTATACAACTGTGCACCCGCAAATATTACGGCATTTTTTCCATAATTAGTGCGAATATTTGGTAATAGAAGATGGTTTGCGCGGCGTGATGAGTATTTTAGCCTTTCTCCTTTTGTGGTGAATGTTATATTTGAATGGATCATATTGTGTGTGATTTTATATATTAATATACATGTGTTATAGATAATTAAATATAATTGTTTGATGTTTAGTAATTTCGTCTCATGGTATATTGTTTTGGTCGAAGTTAAAAAGTCGTAATGATATAAAATTTTTATTAATTTATTTTGCAGTACTTGTACCTTTTGTAGTAAAGTTTTGGCTGCTGTACCCCATATCTCTATTAAGTAAATTAAGTGTGGTTTAACCAATGCGTTATAGATCAGAGGGCGAGCTTTCGGTGGTATACATCGAGCAATGCCGTATGTAGAACCTATTAGAGATGAAAACTTATTTTTTATAATTGATAAAAGACCGTTCCATGACAGATGTTTATCAAGCAATAGTCCAAGGTATTTTTCTTGATTAGACTGGCGTAATATTTCTCCGTTTATGTGTAATTTTGTGTGGTGTTGAATTTTTTTGTTTTTTGCACTAAATATTACGTAAGATGTTTCGGCGGTATTTATTGGTAATAGGTTGTACTGGAACCATCCGTGTAGTGTGTTGAGATCTTGTTGAGCAAGCGTAGTAAGGTCATTTATATTCTGTCCAAAGTAGAATAAACATGTGTCGTCTGCATACAGAGTGAGATGGCCGTGTAAGTCTACTTCACAAATATTATTAACATATACTAAAAACAATAGCGGGCCAAGAATCGAACCTTGTGGTACTCCACAATTTATAGGTAAGGAGTTACTTTGATAATTTCCAATCCTTACAATCTGGTATCTATTTGCAGTGTAAGATTTTAACATCTGGAGTGCCATGTCAGTTACACCAATATTTTCTAACTTTTTCAGTAGCAACGAGTGACTCACTGTGTCAAAGGCTTTTTTTTAGGTCAATGAACACACCTAGTGCAAGCTGTTTTGATCTATTTAAATTTTTATTTTAGTGACTAAGTCAATAGCTGCACTGAGAGTATTTGATTTTGATCGGAAGCCGTATTGTCGATCACACAAAAAATTTATTTTAGTCAACTATTTCGATTTGAATCGATTTAAAAATGAGTAAAATTAATCACTAGGCCGGCCATTTTGTTGACAGCTTTTCGTTATGCCGTTGTAAAGTATATAAGCAAAATGGCGGATTGTGTCAGCGCTACTGAAGTT